GCATTTGACTGTGTTGCAGTTTTTTTTTATCTCACCCTACAGTATGGGCTTCTTAATGAAGTTAGCTGCAAAAAAGTTAGAAAGCAATACCCTCCACCATTTGGAACGAATTTGGAAATTTCCAAAAAACAAAATCCTTTTAAAATTCTGTTTAAATCTTAAAAATACCGAATACAGCCGTTATGTTGGGGTCTCTACGACGCGAAGCTACATAGGCTTTGTTTGTCATAAGCCATTACCATATTAAAATTCGAAACTTGAAATAAACGGTGAATAATGTAGTTTAAAAATAATCAAAATACCGTATATAGAGAGGTACCCCTATATCGGAGCTATATGAAAACCTGGACCTGCATAGACAATTGTCTGTCACAGGCTGTAGCATCCATTACGAACTTCAAATACATCATCTCAAACAATTTCGGTGAGTATCGTACCTAAAATCGTCAAAATAACGAATATAGGGAAGTACTGATATATGGGGCCTATACGAAGACCTGCACCTGCAAACACAATTTTCTGTCACAGGCTGTAGTTCCCATTACGAACTTTAAATACGTAATTTGAAACTACTCCGGTGAATAATGACGCTAAAATCATCAAAATACCGAATTTTGGGAGGTACCGTTATATGGGGGCTATACGAAGACGTGGACCTGCACAGACAATTTTCTGTCTTAGGTTGTAGTATCCCTTTCGAACTCCAAATACGACATTTCAAACAATTTCGGTGAGTATTGTACGTAAAATCGTCGGAATACCGAATATAGGGAATATGGGGCCCGTACGACGACGTGGATCTGCATACCCAATTTTCTGTCACAGGCTGTAGTTCCCATTATGAACTCTAAATACGTAATTTAAAACTACTCCGGTGAGTAATGTCCACAAAATCATCAAAATACCGAGTATCCGGAGGTACCGTTATATAAGGGCTATACGAAAATGTGGACCAACATGGCACATTTACGAACTTAACCTGCCTACTGGAAAAATAAACATGTGTGCAATTCGTTCCTTCTATCTCAATTCGTTCGAAAGATAGCGTGATTACAACAGACGGACAGACAGACAGACGGACGAACAGGCAAACAGACTGACATCGCTAAATCGACTAAGAATTTTACGCTGATCAAGAATATATATACTTTGTTGGGTCTGACATGAGTATTTCGAGGAGTTACAAACGGAATGACAAAGTTAATATACCCTCCATAGTATGGTGGAGGTTATAAAAAAAGAATTTAATGGCAAATCTATTAACCCTCAAGAAACACTTACGACCTTTATGCCAATGTGGCCATGTAAATCTAGTTTTAAAACTGAATATTGTATGGCAGCACTTTTAAACGATTTTTGATTTATGTTTGTTTAAGGGTTAAAAAACTGGAAAACTAAAATTTTTGATACGTCAAGTTGTAAGGATTTTTCACGTGTTCCCAAGATGTCTGGTCGTGTTGGCTACGTGACTTTAGATTGCTGCACGTTTGCAGGCAACGCTTGAATGGGTAATAGAAACATCAGAAATCCACACACACACACACACATTCCCACTCATATGCACATACCCTAACGCCTTGACGATTATGAAGTCAAGTGGAGTGGCTTAAGAACCCATTTTTTATTATCCACTGGTAATAGTAAAAAATTTGCAATAAAAACTTTAAGTGCTCTGGGTTAAAAAACTTCTCTATGAAAATACTGAAAATGTCTTCTTTTTTCATTTTTGTGTTTCAATATCGACCGGGGTCACTACCTAGCCATTTGCGTGCAAGAGTTTGCATGTAATCGAGTTTAGAATTTAGTTTCGTTTTTTGTTTTCATTTCTACGTTAAATTCATTTTTATTGTTCCCCCTTGGCTGCTTCACAGCCCCAAGGGTTCTAAGCATTTAGTCGAAGCAGTTGTGAGCTTTTCGAAAATGAAAACAAACATTGGCGGGAATTCTGAGAACGTCATACAAGTATGTGTGTCATGTATGAACGTACATGTACATGGTTGCCATTCGGATAACTGCTGTCGTTTTATGACCGACATAGATGCGAAGCGAGAAGATAAGCGAATAGATAAATATCTGCTGCTGCGAAATATTTGAAAAAGGTGTGTCGTCATATTATGTTTTGCTATCATTACTTTATTTGTCTTTTAATTATTTTAATTTTTTTCTTTGGTTGCTGTTTTAATGTCGGTTGTTTGTTGTTGTTGTTGCTGCGTTGCCGTAACGATAACAACAATAGTCATGTGTTTCATTTTTTTTACTAATTTTAATAGAAGGCGAGGGAAGGTAGAAACAATCAAGGTCAAGGGTGGAACAGCGCAACCGGACCGTGTGGGATTTTTTGGGGAAAATTCACAAAATCGAGCTTTTCGCAATTATGGATTATATTGAAATCCTGACATTTTGGAGCAAGAAATTTTTCTATCCATTGTGAAAAAATGAGAAGCGAATCACAACCACTTCGTTCGGGTGCAAAATCACATTCAATTCTCTATTCGGCTCGCGACCAAATGTTTCAGTGAGAAGAGAAACAAGTAAAAAGGCTGTAACTTAGGCCGGGCCGAACTTTGAATACCCTCCACTATTTGGAACGAATTTGGCAATTTAAAAAAAAAAGAAAAGTATCCGCTAAAAATTCTGGTAAAATTTTTTAAATACCGAATGTAGCCGCTATATTAGGGTCTATACGATGACGTAGGGAACTTTTGTCATAAGCAATTAAAATATTCAAATGCGAAACTTAAAAAAATTCGGTGAATAATGTCGCAAAAATCATCATAATACCGAATATCGGGAGGTGATATGGTGGCTCTACGAAGATTTGCACCTGCACAGACAATTTTCTGTCATAGGCTGTAGTATACATTGCGAATTTCAAATACAAAATTTGGAACAGTTCCGGTGAATAATATCGCTAAAATCATCAAAATACTAAATATCGGGAGATTATACGGAGGCTCTAAAAAGACGTGGACCTGCACAGAAAATTTTCTGTCATAGGCTGTAGTATCCATTACGAACTTCAAATACCAAATTTGTAGCAATTCCGGCGAATAATGTCGCTAAAATCATCAAAATATCGAATATGGGAAGGTGCGGTTATATGGGGGTTCTACGAAGACTTGCACCTGCACAGACAATTCTCTGTCTTAGGCTGTAGTATCCACTACGAATTTCAAATACCAAATGTGAAACAATTTTGGTGAATAATGCCGCAAAAATAATCAAAATACCGAATATACGGTGGTACCGTTATATGGGGGCTATACGAAGACGTGGACCCGAACAGACAATTTTCTGTCTTAGGCTGTAGTAACCATTACGAACCTCAAATACCAAATTTAAAACAATTCCGGTGAGTAATGTCTCTAAAATCGTCAAAATACCGAATATCGGGAGGTGCGGTTATATGGGGGCTCTACGAAGACTTGGACCTGGACATACAATTCTCTGTCTTAGGCTGTAGTATTCACTACGAATTTCAACAATTTTGGTGAATAATGTCGCAAAAATCATCAAAATACCGGGGCTATACCAAAACGTGGACCTGCACAGATAATTTTCAGTCATAGGCTGCAGTATCCATTACAAATTTTAGTGAGTGGATTATAGTGGACCGATATATCCCATCTTCATACCAGACCTTGGGTTTACTAAAATATTGCGATCTATGTAATTCGAAGAGAACCGGAAGCTTATTTCGGATTTTATTATTCAAAATCTTGGCCCTTTATGGGGGAGGTACCAGAAGGAATGGTCCGATCTCTACCCTCTGTATAACAGATGTTGTGTTTATGGAAATATTGAGGTGTGCCAAGTCTGGACAATCGGACTCTTACCTCATATTTTATTAGATTTATAATTATTCAAAATTTTGACCCTAGGTGTGAGAGATACATGTTGGACTGAACCGATATTGTCCATTTTCGCATTCATTTTTCGGATTTACAAAGTTGGAGAAAAATCTCTTTCTGTGCAGTAAATTATTTTCTTTGAAAATGTTGATATTACCCATCTCCGAACTCGATCTAAGTTTGACAGTAATATTACGATGTATCAAGTTTGGATCAAATCGGATACTCCCTTCGAAACGGAAGGAGAGACATCGCTAGATCGACTCCAAATGTCCTGAAACGGATTTGGCCCAAAAAGACCTAGGGTCTAAACCCGTTATTTCAATGTGGCACGTTTTGGCCGTATCAAATGATACGTACCCTCACTAGCCATATGGCTGAGGGTATAAAAAGAAAATAGAGTTGGAAAATGAATTGTTAAATAAAGTTGGTTCTTCTACTTACGGCCAAATAAAAAACGCCTTCTTAAATTTTTCTTGCGAAAACCCGTCCCAACAAAAACAAATCAAAATTTTTAATTAAAACGTATAAACCAATTGTTCTCCAATTTCTAAAATATACTTACTTTCCATAAAATAGAGGCGAACGCTTTTCAATTTTTGTTGTAAAACGTAATACGTGTCTTCCGAATATTTTTAAATAGGTTCACCAATATTGTACAGAAATAATGTGCCAAGACCAAGATGCTTTCTTTATAATTCATGTCGAAAAACGTTTCCAAATTTCGCTTGGGATTATTGTATGTCTTCTTTTCAAAATAAGATATATATTTAGTTGAGTCCATGGTAGAATTAAAAGGTAGCCCTATCAGGCCAGCTGTAGGCAACTTGATATGTCAAACAAATTGTTGTAATATGAATTCGCCCTACAGATACATAAAATGAGAGAGTAACCTGAACAATTATTAAAATTGAAAATGTTGGAAAAAGTTAAAAAACAAAAATGAATCACCCAGACAAAAGTCTATGTCCTTTCATAATATCTTCATCAGGTCATATTTGAACAATAGATCTGATACCTATCCTACAAAATATTTAATAATCACTATTCTCATAAAATGTGATATTATTCCCAGTTCTCTTCAAAGTATTAATACTAGATTTAGTGAAAAATCTTTATGATACGCCCTTGAAATAAAGTAAAGATAAATAAGTGGTCAAATTCTGAGGATATATTTCTGTCGAAGCTCCGACTGAACTTTTTTTCTTAAAACTTGGACTTTTATCCTTTAGGACTTCAAGATAAACAATTGGTCTCATTTCAAAAATAATAATGTTTAGGTCTGAAATAAATCAACAAATCCACTATTTGAGATCCGCAAATATGCTTTCGAGATATAGCCACATCTGAGACCCGGAATGTTCTTCAAATATCCACGATTTAAGAGCCGGTAATTCTCTTTAAAATTTGAGGATTTTATGTGTTGAATCTACATTTTTAGAAATCCACGGCAAAATTCATTGTTTGGAGCAGCAGCCTTTGTAAATTATCCTCATTTTGGTGGTTGTTTCATGGTTTCTTGTCTTATTTCGAGTCTTCGACTTTTTGTTTGCTTTTCACAAAATTTCCTTGCAAAATATAAATTTTTTAAATATAAATAAAAATACAACAAAATTATTCAATGCTTCGTTCTGATTGGTGCAAAACAATTTGCCTCAAATTTTATATGTCAAGTAAATTCGCCTTGCCTACAATTTCGACATATCAAGTTCCGACAACATTTGCTTTGTTGTAATTTTCGCCTATGTTGTTACCTGGTATTTCTACCATGGTTGAGTCTTTTGTCGTCCTCTTTTATTTATTTATTTATAATTGTTTTTAATTAATTTATACATTGTACAGTGTTTTATTTCCAAAGTTTTAAAAAATATTTTATCACCAGGTATAATACATAAATCAATGATCCTACATTAAAAATGCCTCAGCAAACTTCGTTTTTCTAGAGATATTCCTCTTTTTTTGAAAAATAGTTACTTCTATTTTTAGTGATTATCTTTAAAAAAAGATTTAATTGACCAACTGTAGAAAAGAGAAGAGAAATATTTTGAGAAACCCCTTAGTTTAAACTTCTATTAAACTAAATTCCTTCGAAATCTCAATTCCCCTCCACAACAAATACATCTACAAATTAAAACAATTGAACTTCCTGTCATATGTCAAACGATTTTATGTTATCCCAAGATCAAACACAAGAAATCAAAACCAATTACATTGGTCTTTATCAATCAACACCTGTAGTTAAATGAAATGCAGAGAGAGATGGAGAGAGAGAGCGAGAGAGTGTACGAGTGTGTGCTCTGCATCCATGACCCTTTCATTCTCGCTGCCCTTTCGTAAACAAAACAAACACAAAATGAAATGTTAATGAAATTCATGTTATCCCACAATCTTTTGTCTGTCGTATTTGCTGACATTGAAGGCAATTTACCTGCCTCAATAATGTTTCGTATGGAATTAGAATAAAATTCCAAGAGTTTCTATGTTTGTTTTTCCAGTGAAATTTAGTGGAGAAGAAAGGGCTGGGAGTATGGAGAAAGGGAAATGGGAACATTCAAATGGCTTTGATGACAGTTTATTCATTAAAATGTACTTCTCGCTCCCTCTCCGTTTACTCAATTTCTAGTTTTCTCCATTCTGCGGTAGTTTCTTTGTAGAAAAAGGTACTGTTGTACGTTTGCGTTAAAATGTGATTTATGAGGATTATAAAAGGAAGAGTTTAGTAGTAGTGTTGAGTGCCCTGTTGCCGATGGTACTAGTAGGCATGAGGATTGATTAAACACATTTTGGAAGATTTCTGACCACATGTTTGTATATCCTCCACCATACATACAGAGTGAGATGAAAAAACTGCAACCAACATCAGACAACTGTCATTTCCAAGCCACTCGTTCGACAGCTGTTAAAATTCTTTCAGTGACAGCTCATTATATTGTTTACAAACGCACAAAAGCACTGCCGAATTTGGTTTTCCCCGATGAGAAAACATTCCTTGTCCAGCAGTTTGTAAACAAACAAAATGATCGTGTTTACTTGCCAAAGAGGTCAGCTGAAAATGTGCACCCTATGTAGCCACCAGAACTCAAGCGGCGGCCATGATGATGGTGCGGGCCGCCATAACAGCCGATGATCGCTCTCCGCTCGTATTAATCGACTGTGGCATCAGAATAAATGCCGAATATTATGGCGAAAATATTTTGGAGGGTGTATTAAAGCCTTGGGCAAGCAAACATTTCGGTCGCAGACCTTGGACTCAGCACGCGCCACCCAAGAATGGTTGCAAAATGAGGTTTCTCGCTTCATTTCCAGCGCACAATGGCCACCAAAATCTCCGGATACCAATCCGTTGGACTATTGTGTCTGGAATATTTCGTAAAGCAAGGTTGGCACTAAAAAATATCAAAGTGTCGATCACCTCAAGCAAGTGCTTCGCCGAGAATGGGCGAAAATACCACAGAGCAACATTCGGTCAGCGTGTGACGGTTTCATTGGCCGTTTGAAGGCCATAATTCGTGCCAAAGGTGGCGAATTCGAACAAATCTAAACTTATTCTAAAATTTGATGCTATTTCCGACATTTTTGCTTTCATTTCATAAAATTTAAAAAAAATGTAAAAATTAAATATTGCAGTTTTTCTATCTCACGATGTAGAATGGAGCGCATAATAAGTTCGTCATTCCCCTCCCCGTAAAACGGTACACCAATTTTTAATGGTATTGACTGAAATTCTACACAAAGAGTTCTTTGTGGGTACTTTACCGCCTGTAATTGTCTATATAGGTCTGCGATATAGTATATCCCCCGTATAACGATACCTCCCGATATTCGATATTTTGGTGATTTTAGCCACATTTTTCGATGGAATTGTCTGAGAATCCACACCAGGAGTTGCTTCTAAATACTTCACTCTCTGGATGAGAATTGTCTATACAGGTCCACGATATCATCGTATAGCCCCCATATAACGGTACACCCCTATATTCGGTATTTTGATGATTTTAACTACACATTTCATTGGATTGGTCTAAAAATCTATACTAGAAGTTCTTTCCAAGCACTTTACTCCCTGGAGGAGAAATTCCTATATAGGTCCATAATATCGTACAGCCCACATACCACGGTACTCAATACTTTGACGATTTTAAGGACATTATTCACCGGAGTTGTTTCAAATTTCGTACCTAGAATTCGCAATTAGTCTATGACAAAAAATTGCATATACACGTCTTCGTATAGCCCTCAATATAACTGCTATATTCTGTATTTTTAAGATTTTAACAGAATTGTTAACGGATTTTATTTTTTTTGAGAAATTCGAAATTCGTTCCAAATGGAAATTCGAAATTCGTAACTACTTTTTTACTTATTGTGTTTCCTATTTTCCGGTTCTTTAATAATCACGTTTTTACTTTGCTCGGGTTATTGTTTCTGCTTGGTTATTGGTATTATCACATACACCGTTTCAACTTTGTAGCTGTTGGCATAAGGCAATTGCTTGCATGAGATTGTCGCTTGTGGTCTTTTGAATATTTTTGCTTCACTATGGTGTTTATGGCACTCAATTTCTTCCACAGTTTCACAAAATTGAGAGTTACTTTCTGTTCCCTTTCTCTTTTTTCTGGTTCGCTTTTTTGTATCTCCTTTTTTCGGTTCTCCGAAAGGAATTTTTTTATTTTACTATCCTCGGCAGTATTGTTAGGTTTTTTTCTTTTACCTCGTGTGAACCGTTATGTGCAGCCATAATTGACATGGAGTCCTTATAGGAAATTGCGTTCAGAGCCAAACTTTTATAAATCCGGACAAAGTCAACTGAACCCACACCACCAATACTGATGTAACTGAAATCTTAAGTGGAAACCGATATTTTATTTTATTTGACTTAGACAGCTAAACTTTCTTTAGATCTGTTGTAAATGGCGCCCAAGCGAGGGGATCCGATGTGAGCTCCGCAAATAATAATAGGGGAAGAAATTTTGTTGTCTTTGCTTATTACGCAGAGATGAATATGAATGATTAAATATTATGAATGAATATGAATGATTAAATGATTATATGATTAAATAAATTAATATGAATGATTAAATCAACCCATAATTGGGGAAGTTTATTTTAAGTGACAACTAGTAATAATCGACAACCTTCACTTATTACTGTAGGGCTGTATTTGTTGAATAGATTTGTATGTATGTCTCTTTTCCTCTCTCTCTCTCTCTTACACAATTTTTTTCTCAGTTTGTTTTGTAATTTAACTACTTGAATTAATGTATAGGATTTCATGTTTGTAGCTGCTGTTGCAATGCCATACACATACCTTTTATTACAGGCCAAGTTTTGTTTGCCTTTTGTTGTACTACAGTTGACATTTAACCTTTTTTCTGAATGTCGCCATTTACTTCTTTCCCAAAGAGTCAAAAGAAGTGGAATACCTTGTTGCAGGGCGTCTACTGTATCGGGCTGATATTCTGGCCGTTTTGTTGGCCTGTGGCATGTGTTTAGAATTTTTATTAGTTTTTTTTCTTGCTTTACTTGTTGTTGCCTACACTGTAGCCCGCCTTTACACTCTCATATATTACCATATGAAATTCAATATAAACATAGTTTTTATTGTTGTTACGTTAGATCGTCCTCTGCATTTTTCCTTGCACGTTATAAAGTAGTTTTTAATAATGATTGTAAATATTGGGTTTTTTGTTGTTGTTTTTGGTTCTGTTGTGGATTGAAATTATAATCGAATTTGTTTGTTTAAATTAAATACTATTTGATTGTTTGTTTTCTTTTATGTTTTTTATATCTCCAGTCTTTGTTGTAAAAATGTTATTCTGAGGATTTAGAATTTAAACATGGTTTTTATTATGGAATTTTATAGCTTCTTTAAATAAGCCATTAAAATGCAATTTAAACTATCTTTGGCATTACAAATAAGTTAAAAAATAATGGGTTATTTCTTAAAAATTGCAAAGCCAAATAAATTAATAATCTCATTGCCAAGCAATCAGTAACCTCAACACAGAGTGTGCGCTTGCTTCGGTGCAAGCGAAGAGAACAAACATAGTAAAAACCCGAACAAATATGCAGTTTATCTAAACATTTGTAACGTTTTTATACCTTAAATTCTTGCGGTAAATTTTTGTTAAGCTTTAACTTGTGAGGTGACATATTTTATAACGTGGTGGTAAATTTTACCCCTCTAAATATTACAGAAAAAAAAACTTTGTTAAAAATTTTATTTCATAATAATTGGTTTTTTTAGAGCAAGCTTGCATATTTTAAATTACAATAAGTAAAAAAAACAATTTTTTTTTTTTTTAATTTAAACAAAAATTTTATTCATCTTAATAGAAGAGAGAATTTCAAGAAAATGAAGAAAGAAAGGTTAATTTTAATAAAATCTTCTATTCTATAAAAGAGGAAATTGTTTGTACGTTTGATACGTTTGTTCGTTTGTTTGTAATTTATAGACTCAAAAACTGCTGAACTGATTTCCAAATATAATACAGCATAGCCTGAAAGTAACATAGCCTATACAAATTTTTGAAATTCCACTTGGAACGGGAGATATAGCATCAGAATCGGAGGTATCTCAAAAATATTTATTTATAAATTTGTCCAGACATATCTATTGATCGATTACAAATATGGTCTTCAAATCCGGAGTGCGTAACGAAATTCGGAGCAAAAATAATGTTGTCAAATAATATAGAAATCGGTTGAGGTTCGGATATATCTCCCAAATATTCGGCCGATTTCACATATTTAATGCACCAAACACGATATATAGC